AGAAGGGCCTGTCGCATCAACCTCCCTACCTGTATCCATGCCTCTATGTTCTGGCCTTTCCTCTGATTACAGTTCAACAACTGTCTGAGCCCCGAGCAATGGGCACTCCCACCATCTGTCCAATAGAGTTTCCATCACCACATGTGGACCAAAGAACATAAATCCAGTCATTCTTACCTCTTCCCACATTATTTTTTGCCCTCTCTTCCAGACTGCTCTATCAACAAATAAACATGCAGTGATTTCTCCCATCTTTAAAAAAAAGGTCTTGAAAAACAGGTCTTGAAAAAAAATAATTAATTAATTAAAATTAAAATTAAAAACAGGTCTTGACCCACTTCCCCCGCCAGTCCATTGCTCTCCTTCTGATAATAACAAGACTCCTTAAAATTAGGAGGTATTTATACTTGCTGTCTCCAATGTCTCTCCTCCCATATTCTTTTTGAATTCAAGAATAGATTTATCCCACCACTAACAAAACTACTCTTACTGGGACGCCTGGGTGGCTCAGTGGGTTAAAGCCTCTGCCTTCAGCTCAGGTCATGATCCCAGGGTCCTGGGATTGAGTCCCATGTCAGGTTCTCTGCTCAGCAGGGAGCCTGCTTCCCTTCCTCTCTCTGCCTGCCTCCCTGCCTACTTATGATCTCTGTCTGTCAAATAAACAAATAAAATCTTTAAAAAAAATAATAAAACTACTCTTGCCAAGATCACTAGTAACCCCATGTTGTTAAAGTCAAGTGTCAATTTCTAGATGTCATCAAGTGCATTTGACACAGATCCCTCCTTCCAGGAAACATTTAAAGATACCAGTTTCCTGGTATCTTTTTCCTCCAGCCACTCACACTCAGTCTCATTTTGCTGGTTCCTTCTCATATTCATAAGCTCTAGACACTGTGCTGCCCAGTGCTCAGAACTTTTCTACTAATAACTCCCTGGTCATCTCACGCAGTCTCGTGACTCTAAGTATCACCTACAGGCTGCCAGCCCCCAGATGTGTATCTCCAGGCCAGACCTGGATCCTGCACCCCAGAGGTCTTCATCCAGCAACCTGCGAGGTATTTCCTATTGGATGCTATGCTGGGGCTCTTACATTTGCCCCTCCAGATTCACCATCCTTCTTCCTCCTCCCTGTTCTGCCCTAAGAGGCTGATCTATATGGATGACAGCAATAGGCTCTGTTTGCCTTCTGGCTGCTAGGAGGTTAGGATTCTGGGAAGCCCTGGCAGGAGAATAAAGGGCGGGGGTGGGGGGGCAGTATAAGACCAGAGTATTTATTCACCTTCTCCCTCCCTGGAGAGTCACCTTCACTGGCTAGATCTCTGGAGCAAAGGTGATTGACTCATCCTCTCAAGGTCAACTGCCCTATAGGAATCTCTCCCCCAGAGTTTCAGTGACGAGGGATAGTAACATCTCTGCTGTTGCCTTTCCTCCCAATGCTCTACGATCTATGCGCTCTCCCCACATCCCGCCCATACTTGTGTAAGCAATGTCTATGTTAAAAGTTCCTTCTAATTCTATTGAGGGTGCCATCTAGGTCCTACAGGAACTCTAACACAGATGTCCAACTGGCATCTCAATGATAACACATGCAAAACTGAGCACCTCCCATGGTCTTGCCTATCTTAATCAATGGCAGCTTCCTTCCTGTAGTTCTCGGGCCGAGAACCTGGCATCATCCTCATACATCTTTTTACCTCATACCCCACATCCTCAAGCCCTGTATGCTGTTCCCTCAAAATAGATCCAGAACCCAGCCACGTCTCACCAGCTCCATGGCCACCACCCTGGCCACGGCCACCATCCCTACTTGTTTGGGTTGTTGCAATAGCCTCCCAGCTGGTTTACCAACAAAGCAGCCAGAGAGGTCCTGTTAAGCCATATCACACGTCTCTTCAAAACCCTCTCATAGCTGCTCATCTCAGAGTAAAAGCTAACATCTTTAATAATAATCTATAAGCCTCCCCGTGATCTGGCCCCATATGCCTCTCTGACCTTATCACCTACTTGCTCACTTTGTTCCAGTCATGCTGGTCTCCCTTGCTATTCTCTATACTCCTATCACCAAGCCTTTCAACTTGTTATGCCCTTGGCCTACAACACTCCTCCCACAGATATCTTCAATGCTTGCTTCCTCACTCACCTTCCTCAGGCCTTTATTCAAATGTCATCATCTCGATAAGACTTTCTCTGGCCACTCTTTCTAAAATTATAATAGCCTCTCCCCACTTCATCTCGATCTCAAGCAATTATCACCATTTAGCATCTTACATATTTGCTTTTCTTTAATGTGTCTCCACACTTTAGAAGGTCCACTCCAGGAGGCGCGTGTTTTGGTCTGCCCTGTTCTTTGCCATATGCTCAATCTCTAAAATGGTACCTGGAAGTAGTGGATACTCAAATAATTGTTTAATGAACCACAACCAGACACCATTCAGTCAAACACTACTACATATGGCCAAAGATAGCGAACACTAGGAATCCTAGCTCATCTCCACTTTGGAGAGCAATTCGGCTAGATCTAGAAAAGTTGATGATGTGCACATCTAACAAACTAGCAATGTACTTTTCTGGGTTATGTATTTATTTATACAGATGAATATGGTATACTAGAAGTCTGTGACTCCAAGGAGTATAGTCAGACTAGCTGGAGAATATTATTTTAGGATCAGAGAAGGAAGTCCATCCCTCAAAAGCAAACTAATACAGCCCTGCTCCTACAATGAAGAGAACATGGAGGCTCTTCTCAGGCATAGGACATGGTGAAAAGAAAATGATCAATCACCAGCAGAATGGGGGGAAAAAATCAAAGCACATATCAGAAGATGTGATAATAGTGATCACCAAAAAACCAATCACAGATAAGTCACCTGGAAAGAAATCAGCAAGCAAAGACAGACAACAGGAAAGACATATGAGACCCAAATCATGTTGGGTTTTAAATTGTAAATAAAATGCTAACATAAGTAACCAAAATAGTACGCCACTGGGCATAAATGCTAGGTCAGACTCGAATTTTGCATTGCCTTCAAACATTCATGCAGGATCTCTCACAGGCCAGACACGGTCCTAGTAAGGGACTATACATTTGGTTCAACTAAAACCAGGTAGTTCATGTGTTAACCTTATTGCGCCTACTTCAAGCTTTCCCTACGTCCTTTTACAGAACCGCCAAGAGAAAGAGAAAATAAGCAGCCTACCTTTTACCTTTCTCCCACCTTGAAGAAAAGTGCTAATAAGCCTGTAATTGGCCAAAATTCAGGTCACCAGAGGGTAGTACTCATCTGACCGGCAAGAAGATGAGTCACCAGTCCCTGAACAGTCCGTGAGTTCGATGCCCTCAGCAAACACCTCTTCTAAGAGGGTTACCGTGTGGTGGGGGGGGGGGGGGGGATAACATAATGACACCAGGCTGAACCTTGCTCTTCTGACTCACACTCACATACTCTCTCCACTTACAATTCTCTTTCTCCTCAAAGGGTTTAATTAAGTCAGAAGAGAATTCATCACTTTAGGATGCTTAGTCTGGTACAGGCATTCAAAAATATAGGCAGAGGAGAAAAAAGACAGGTTGAACTCAACAGCAACATAAAAGTCAGGAGGAAGAGGGAATTTAAAGCAAACTGTCTGAAAATCTTCATTTTATTTCTCTGCTTCTTAACTCCTCATCCTTTAAATTTTTTTTTTGACCTGGTAATATTTTGTTGTTGAGGTCATCATGGACTCTCATAATACTTGTAGTAACAACACAGAGAGATCTCCCACACTTGACCCAGTTTCCCTAATGATAACACTGTGCAAAACTACAGTATAATATCACAACCAGAATATTGACATACTGATATTGATATAACCCACCAATGTTGTTCAGATTTTCCCAGTCTTATTTGTACTCACTTGTGTGTATGTGTCTTAAGTTCTAGACAATTTTATCACTTGTGTAGGTTTGTGTATCTACCACCACAATCGAGAAAATGATCAGTATCAGCACTAGAAGGACACCTCATGTTACCTTCTCATAACCACATCCACCAAACCCATCCCTAACCCCTGAAAACCACTAATCCATCTGCCATTCATTCTTTCAACCCTCATGCCACACCCTAGTGGAAAGTAGCCATCTGTACGACCACCCCTATTCCATTCTCTCACTATACTCCTACTCTCCAGCCTCACACAGCTGCACACTCAGGGTGGATTCTGTCTTCAAAAAGAGCTGGCCAGAGAAGGAAAGGGTGTTGCACCTTACTGATAGAGAAAACCATCCAAAAGCAAAACAGAAGGGTTTTCACGTTCAGGTACACAGGTCTCTTCTATGTGCATATCCACTAATATGCATATTCCTGGCTATAAAAGAGGAAAGAACACATATTCTAGAAGCTTCGTAAAGTTCTGTATAAACATAAGTATTGATTCCTATGAAATCAAGGAAAAGACTTCTATTTTCAGACTACCCAATTTAGAGGGGCATAGTGCAGCATTTTTCACTTCTGTAAAAACTTTCATCCATTTCAACCAGGACTTAAGTCCTTCTACATCGGTATGTGGAATCCCTATATTCAACTTAAAGAAACATCTTTCTTCCTTACAAGCCATTAGATACGCTGTCCTTTACTCAAATTTAAAATCCAAAGGACAAAATGAACTGCTAGTAATTACTAGTTATTACAACGCAGTTTTTAAAAGGAACATAAAGGGGCGCCTGGGTGGCTCAGTGGGTTAAGCCTCTGCCTTCGGCTCAGGTCATGATCCCAGGGTCCTGGGATCGAGCCCCACATC